CTGCCTGGATTGGGATGATACCCTCCGATCGCATAAGTTTCGTTTTGTCATGCTTTGATGGTTTACCAGCGGAGTACTGTTGTTGTCTGAAAGAATACTCCGTTGTCTCAAGTTGTTTACTTGGTTATCGCGTAACAAGAGAACAGTGCGATTCAATGCTTAGCTATTGTTGGTCGTTAGATGCTATAACCTTACTTATCATGGAGCTTTGCCTCCAATTTCTTATGAATCGCTATGAGTATGCGATTTATGCTTCGTTGTAGACGTATAATTTCTATTCAGTGAGGTAGGTAAGACAATAAGATTTCGGAAATGCTTTTCTATACTCAAGAAACCAACAACAGAACTTCTGCCTTTTGCGATGCACAAACTTCTAACAGTCTTATTTTTTGCCAAAGGGTTCGATTTTGACTAATTATAGACTATTTATGCCACAAATGTTCTCAAATAAAAGATTTGTCGGCAACCGAAATCCTGTGTAACACGCTACTAAAGTTTCTCTTGAATTTTCCAGGAATTTGTGAGCTCCGCGAGCTACAAAGATTGGACTGTTATTTGTGGTTAATGTATCACCTGATCATTAGAAAGCTTACAAAATAACCCAAAAGAAGATGTGCAATTGCTTAAGAAAAACAAATTTTGCCAACATCGGAAGCGTATTCAAAGATTTTTCAACCTCAAGCATGGTTTAGCTGCGTTACTCTTAGTTTCTGCCGTATTTCCTTGGTCATTGGGAAAGCGCAAATGCTGGCCGCGAAGTGAGCTAAATGACCAAACGTACTTTCGCAACACAGTTTCCGGCACGTTGAAGCCGGGCTGTCGGCCGGGTGTAGGACTCTTCAGAGCGGCCGATGCTGGAGCGCTACTTTTGGGTGCAAGGTGCTCGTCTTTCTCCTCCTGAAAAATGGTAGTTTACAAAAGTTTCTAGAATAAAACCTACACGGAACGGAGTTGAAGACAATCTGCTGAAACTTCTACTTAAGTTTGTAGAAAGCTTTACCTCTCCTGAATATCATTATACTGATAGAAAGCTTTTTGCAGTTATTCGTGCGAGCTGTGAATTTCT